AGTTCGTCAAGAATTTGTAAATTATTTTTTTGATTAAAATTTTTTTTTAAATTTGTCTATTTTTAGCTTATAAGCAATCCAAACTTTTTTTCTTATAATATAAAATTAAATACTACTATAAAATAATCCTTATTTTCAAATATTATCAAAAAAAAATTTATTTAAATATCTTAAATTTTAAAAAAAGTAAATTATAAGCAAATTTATAGTAATTTTCTAGGCAAATTTGCCTGGAATTGCTCTACAGTTTAAGGGATAAAATATCAACTATGCTAAACTACTTAATATTGTAAAAACCTGTTTTATAACATTTTCTTCCTCTTAAGTTTTTGGTTCACCAAAAACCTTATTCATGTTCTATGTCTATATTATGTTGCAAAACTAACTAATTCATTAAAATCTTCTAATTCTAGATTGTCCAAATCTCTAAGCTTCATAGTGTTGGTGCGGTAGATTTGTTCTAGTCCTGCAATCTTAAAAAGATCGTAGACCTTTTTCCAAACTCTTTTTTTATTTTTCAACATCTTCTCTTTGATCTTTTCATTAAGATTTTTCGGATGCTTTTTAACTAGTCCTCCTAGATAAAATACATAAGCTAAAGCATGAATTCTGTTATAGTGTTCTTTGCTAGCGGCTTCCTTGTACTTTTTGTGGATAGTCTCAAAACAGGAGATCTAGCTTTTTTTTGGTTAAGGACAGTATCTAAACAGGAAATATTTAGGCAGGAGTACTGTTCATTATGTCTACTTTGAGTCGGTCCAAGAGACTAAGAAGGGGTTCACTTTTCGGATTTGTAATGGAGATGCTATGGGTACGCTATAAGAGGGAAAGATTATCACCGAGATAACTCAGGATAATTTTTGGCTCGATTTGGTTGCTAAATCTACCAAATCTGCCGAATATAGCAGAAATGGCAAATTAGATAAAAGTAGCAGAAAGAGTAGATACTATAAACCAAGTAGATAGAGAAGATACATTAGAATAATCCTTTTATAATTGAAAAATGTATATAAAGACCCAATGTATAGTAAAATAAAAAAAAACTCACTTCAAGTTCTGACTACAAAGAAATAAAAGTAGTAGTTCTCTTAAAGTCCCTTTTACTTAAACATTATCGAGTTTTACTATTACCTTTGTCCCCATGATAAAGTAAAAACTAAAGTATTTTCGTACCATGAGAGTAAAGAGAGAGTATTAAATGATTAATACTTAGAACCCCTTTTATATTAAGTTTGATAAAACCTTGATTAAATTTGTCATTGTTCTACGATTACGTAGATTAATCAAAATTATCGTGACCCATATAACACATGATCCCAAATAAGCAGTAGACTCGAAAGAAAGAATAAGTAGAGTTATAAGTATTATATTGACATAATATAATACAAGCTAATATCAAATAAAAAGTAAAAGGAAACTTATCTGAGACTCGATATTGTAACCACAAGACTCTAAGCTCTAAAAAACTCGGACCAAGTCTTCTACGCCTCGTTTGACGCCTGCCAATTTTGGAGTTTCGGTCTTGCCATTTTACATATTTTTAGTAGTGTTTAGTTGTTTTGTATGTTAGTTAGTCATTATCTATTTAGTCTAGCTTTCTACAATGCCCATCTCTATGCAGAATTGTTGTAACAGGTGGGTTCACAATAATGGTTCTGGTATACTGCAATTGTTGACAAGTTTTATGGAGCTCCTTAATTTTTCGGTAAAGTAAAGGGGTAATCCAAGAAGGTGCAGCAGGTGTAGTACTCATTGTTAGTTGCTAAAAAAAAAATAAAAAATAAAGCAAAAGATAGTTTTTGTAGAGTTAAAAGATGTTTTTAGAGATGTTTTTAAAGATTTTAAGTTGTTAGATTTAAAGTCAAAAAAGGTAAATTCTTGTCCTTTAAATATCTTTCAAAGTGCTTGTCCATGTTATGGAGTTGAAATACTTATCTATGTTATTCAACACATGTTTGCTCTTTACAAATCACCACATACTAAAATCTGTTTCATGCAGTGTCTATCATGTTTTGCATTTGTGCCAACCATGTGTGATAATTCTGCTCAGCAATGCTTGGCAAAACTTTGACAAAAATTTTAGCCAGACATGTGTTTTGATGGCTTCTTTGTCTTTTTCTTCCTTAAAATTTGGGAGGACTCCGAACTTGTTCTAGATTTTGTACTAAAATTAGATTTAAATATTCCTAAATTATCTATTTTCTTTTAAATTTGTAATCACATCATTATTGTTTGTGATTTTCTTTGTTAACATCATACAATAATTTTCCTTGGCATGAGAAAACTTATCAATTGTTTCTAACTCTATTTATAATCTTGTTTTTCTTGTGTTCGTTTCTCAAAAATTTTTACATACAAATTTTTCTTTTTGTACAATTCTTCCTATTAGTCTTTTATGTAAAAACTTTATCTAATACTCATCACTTTTTCTTTTCAGTTTCTGTTTAAAACTTCTCTTGCCTTGCTTGTCTTCCTGCTGTTTTTCCTGTTGAAAGTGTGTATACTTTCGGGCCATATGCTCAGCTTCATGAGTCTTATGCTTGTAGGGATAAACGCCGGTCGTCCATGTCTGGGTAAGCTGACAGTCCTTTGTACTTGGATGATTGATTTTCTTTATGACTTGTATGATTGATTGTTTGGCCCCGGTGGACATTTTCTCTTTATTACTTCTTCATTTCTTTTTCTATTTTCTATAATCTCGTTTTTCAGTATATACACATAGAAAAAGCATTCTTTTTTTGGTCAATTTTTTAGATGCCTAGAACACCTTGAAGCCAGTCGGTATCCGAAATAGTCTGAAAATTATGAAACCAAGTTGCTAACTTGCAAGCGCGGCTTCAAGAATATGATCTGACTAAGCTAGTGCGGCAGAATTTCCTTAATGATGTTCAGGTGGAGAGGTTATAAGTGGATAGAAATCGGTTGATGGTTTGGGTGAGGGATTTGGAAACAAAAATTAATGATTTAGAAGCAGAGATTTTTGCGTTGCGGAATATGTTGGAGAGTAGTCAGGGTTATAGTTTGGTTGAGTTGGTGGTTGTTTCTATTCTTCTTTGTTTTGTATATTATTTTACTTTCTTTTTCCTTAATAAAATTTTTCGGTTTTAATTTCTAATTTGTATAAATTTCTAATTTTTGTTAATAAAAATTTTAAACTTTAAACGATCAAATATCTAAGTCTAATAAATTTTTAAAACTAAAATTTCTAATGTCTAAATCTAATAAAGTAACTAAATTTACTATTGTCAAAATATTGCTTTAAAAATTGTCTTTTTCCTTTTGCTTTGAATAATGATTCTAATAAAATAATAAGAACTACCGTAAATGGCAATATAAAAGACCTGGGTTTGTTACATTTTCCTAATTTTAAACCCGATAGTAGACCCGGGGGTCTATTGTACGGATATGGGTCTGATAATCGGGGGAGATTTTATGCGGAGGTCTAGTACTTGGGTCTAGTACTGGGCAATATATATATATAGCAATTGGCACAAAAATGAATTATATTTTATTTCAAGCTATCCGAATGTTTAATGCAATATAATGAATAACACGACATAATAAAGACAAGAACAAATTTATTTTTATCTGTGAACTTAGGCCTGGCGGTCTATATTTATTTAGACAAATTGCAAGAAATCCGATATTATCGGTAAAAGCCAAACCTACAAAAATGACAAAAAAAAAATAATTAGAAAAACTTGAACCAAAAAATAAATAAAAATAAATAAAAATCAAATATAAAAAATTAATCTGATATTGTAAGATTTTTTTTTTTTACTGTTGATTAAATACAACCTTTTTTTTAGAGTACCATATTAATCTTGCTATTACCGGTACTTACAAAATTAGAAACTTGAAATTCATATAATTTCTCAATGACAATTATGAAAAAATGCTGATATTGACTATCGCTATAGCATAATTGACTTTTAAATATAATTAATATGTGTATTTGCTACAAGAAATATTACACAATATAATTTAAAAAAAAAAAAAAAAGGAAGGTCGTATTTTACATTTCTATCGCCTCAACAAGTTTTTTCCAACTAAAGGTAAGAAGCAAAATAAGTACTCTATTTTGATTTTATTAATATTATTAACTAATATAGTTGAGTATAGTATCGGCATTAAAAATGGGACGAAATAGAGCAAATCTAAAACAAGCAACAATTACTAAAAAAAAAAAAGAAGTTGGAATGCGCGTGAAAAGTTAGCTATCATTACATATCTTGAAAAAAATCCTACAGCAAGCAAACATAATACTGCAGAAATCTTTAATATAACAACAAAACAACTGCGTGATTGGATTAAAAAAAAAAAAGAATTAAAAATTGCACCACCTTTTGTTAGACGGCTAAATACTAGCTCACACCCTAAATATCCGCTTTTGGAAAATGAGCTTAAAACTTGGATTAGATCTTTATGTTCATCTCAAAAAGTTGTAACTCAAAATATGGTCAAAACTAAAGCAAAGCAACTTGCAAAAGCATCACGTTTTACTTCAATTTACCCAAAGATCAATGAGTGCAAGTGGAGTGACAAATGGATTTCGGGTTTTATGCATCGAAATAAGTTTAGTAATAGACGTTGCATTACAGTTGCACAGAAGTTGCCAGAAGATTTGGAACCTCTAAGAAATGAATTCTTGAATTATGTATTGTTTTATCATATGCGTCACAAATACCCTCTCTCGCTTATTGGAAATATGGACGAAACTCCATTAGCATTTGACGTACCCAGTAATTATACAATTGAGGAAACTGGTGCTCATACCGTTGAGATTCATACAACTGGGTATGAAAAATCTAATTTTATAGTTGTTTTAAGCTGTTTAGCGGATGGAACAAAATTGTCTCCAATGGTAATTTTTAAATTAGTCAATATACCAAGACAAATATTCCTATCAGGCATTGTTATATGAACCAATCTACAAGGGTATATGAATTCTGATGAAATGATTTATTGTATTGAAAATGTTTGGAATCATCGAGCTCGCTTGTCTATTAATTCTCGTTCGTTACTGGTTATGGATTCATTTCGTGGTCATCTTACAGATCCGGTCAAAAACCGGTTTAATAAGAAAAATACCGATTTTGCAGTTGTTCCAGGTGGGCTCACTAATAAATTGCAACCGTTAGATGTATATATCAACAAGTCTTTTAAAACAAGGTAAGTAAATTATATATACATACGGTGCAAGAAGTTTAGAAACCACAATTACTCAAAATATAAACAGTGAATTAAATACTAAATTCTGGTATAATTTAATGGTTACATTTGGACTACGCTAAGCAGATTATCAAGTAGCACATCAGTATTTTTTAAATTATCGACTTCAATAAGGTATTTATATGCACAACTTATTGGTGTTAATAATTTAAGGACATATTAAATTTTAAGGAGTGATTGTGGTTTTTGGATTCTTGCACCGTATATATATTTTTTATTAAAAAAAATGACACACGAATTATATCATAATTTATGCAATATTGTATTTAAGTATCGCGAATACTATCTTGATTGGATGGGTGAAGAAATCAAAAAACTAACCCCAAAAGGTCGTATTCAACGACCCGCTTATAATTTGGTGGCAAAATGAATAAAACTAGCATGGGACCAAGTTGATCCTAACTTTATCAAACGGTCATTTAAGTGTTGCGGTATCTCTATTGCTCAAGATGGGTCCAAAGAGAATGTAATGTTTGATTATAATTGGGTGGCTAACCCAGAGTCTCGAAATAATAATGGTAATTATATCTACGCCGATGTAGACAATGCAAGCGATAGTGAAAGCATTATAGATTTGACCCTAAACAATAATAATGAAAATGATGGTGGCAGTGATAGCTTGGGTGAAGAAAACAGAAATGATGATAATAATGAAAATGGCTCAAATAAAGGTGATGACTATAGTAATGACAATGATAATAGTGAAGATAGAGATGGCAGTGGTGAAGAAAACAGAAATGACGATAGTGATAACAAAAATAGTTCAAATGAAGGTGGTGACTTAAATGATCAAGAAGACCATGAGGAAGACACATATTATGAAGACAAAGTGATAGAGTATGTCAATTTATGGCATTAGAATTATGAAAGCTGCTAAATTAGGAATGTATTTGCAATTTATAAAGTTGGACATTGTTATGAAAAGGGATTCGAAATTGAAAAGATGAGAAGAAAGCTTAATAGAAAGACAATATTCTGTTCGATTTATCGTTTAATAAATAATACAGTATAATAAATCGACAAATTTGAAAAAATCATCAGAAAATAAGTATTATCGCTGTTTTCAAAATGGTTGAGAATAGCAGGATTTACAAAGAAAATTTTTTTTATGCGAATACCTGAAAACTTGAAAACCCGATTAGTTTAGAACACTGGTCAACAATCGATTCCAATTTACATATGCACTCGCATAATTGGTTTAATGTTCTAAACTAATCAGGTTTTTGGGTATTCGCATAAAAAAATTTTTTTGTAAATTTTGCTATTCTCAGCCATTTCAAAAACAGCGATAATTCTGTATAATTGTTAAATAATTTATTGATTTAACTTTTTGTTGTCGTATGGGTCTTTATGTAACAACCTGTGCTTTTTTTAAAAGCTTATTCGCACGGGTATATATGAAAATATATACCCATGTGAATGAACTATGTTTTATAAAAGGAAAAACTAAATTTAGTCTTACTTTCGTTAAATAAAGACTAACAGTTTAGTTACCATTAGGTGGAAAATATTATTACTGGTATCGTACTCGGGTCTTTTATTATTTTAGATCCTATAGTATACCCGGGTCTTTTATCATTTTAGATTCTCTAGTATACCCGGGTCTCTTATTTTTTCCAAAAATCTCAATCTATATAGTAGACCCGGGGTAATACGTGGGAGATCTACTATTATGGGGGGTCTTTTATATGGCCATTTACGGTAGTATTTCATTGTTTCGTCATTCCTAACCAATTAGGTTTTAAGCATGTTTTGTCCATTGTCATTAATAAGACGTACATGATATAAATTTTCTGATTTTAAGAAATTTTCTTTTCCTTTTTCTTCATCAACAATATCAACAACAACAAGAACAATAATAATAATAATAATAATAATAAAGATAATAATAATAATAATAATAATAACAATAATAATAATAATAAAATAAAAATGCCTCGAGTTCACATTTCTTGTGCCGTCTAACGTGCCAGACACAGTGGCAATAAGGCTCTTACTGAGGTTCAAAATCAAAACAGAAGGTAAATATTTATCGATTTTTATAATTGCTTTAGATGAAATATTAATGTTATTAATCCATTTTTAGGTTGTTGTATGAGGTGAGGTCCTTAAGAAGAAGAATCATAGTGTTGGAGGCGGAGTTGGAAGAGATTAGGTTTTGGGATGTGGAGTCGGTAGAGGAAAATTGTAGGAGAGATGAGGAACATTTGAGGGTGGTTCAGAAAAGGAATCAGTTGCATGTTTGGCTTGCTGTAATAGAAACTTGTATAGATAGCAGTTCAGTGGATTTAGATGAAGAGTTTGATATTTAAAAAAAATAAATTTGGGTTAGGGTCCCATAGCCTAGTGGTCTAGGCACCTAACCCTCCACAGACAAAGTCAACGGTTCGATTATAGCTGGTGGTAATTAATTTAATTAGTTATCTCTGTAACCTACGGGAGCTTTCGAATGTGAAACCCTGTGATGATAAGACCATGTGAAGTACTTATTTGGCCTATAAAGAATTCTTGGAAAGAGTCCTGAGCTGTAGAGAAGACTGGGCACTATGTGTGACATGGCGTCACGAAAAGTAATACCGCATAAGGCTGTGCATGTAAATCCTCGATTGGCTAGGTAGCACCAACAACCCTAAGGCGGTCTTGG